CACAATTCACTACATACTCATTAAATATAAATTGCAATATGTATGATGCAACGCGCTAAATATTTTGATCTATATCAATTTCCTTTTACTCTAATATTCGCAGTAACATCATATGGTCATCACTTTGCAAGAATCTCTATATCTTCACGTGCATTGTTATGCAAGGCAATGATTGTAATACATGTATTAAAGATTTAAATAAATTCCTGGATAACAAGCGCGAGATGAGAATGTGAGTCTAGATCGTGATCCAACGATTACGTTCTGCAATCGTCGTCGTAGCGAAGAGATCCGACTGATGCGTCGCTATCTCGGGGGTTACCTAACAGAACGCGCGAGGATGCACTTTCGGGCGACGTCATGAGCGTCCGATACGCTGGTCGGTCGGGGCTAGCACAGTCGTGCAAAGTAAAAATAAAACAGCAGGCCAGAGAGAGAAAGAGAGGAGGCGGGGGAGGGAAGGGAGGGAGAGCAATTCCGTTCACGCAACACGCGCTCCGTGCGTTACCTAAGAACGCGTAGACGCGCAATTCAGCGTAACCGCATGGTTATGAAAAAAAGGATGCAAAAAACAATGGACGCGTGGTCGTGCCGGATCGATGCATATACACACGATGTCGGACGCAGACAGACTATAATCGCGCTTGACACGCAGGACCACAGGTGTCCGAAAGCAAGTGCGACTACTGATTGGTCCTTTCGTTTCTTAATTTTTTTCTCGATTCTTTAAGTGAAAAGATTGGTCTTTGAAAAAGATCAATTTTTGGTCTTTTTCACCAAAAGACCAATTTGATCTTTTTGTTAATAATTTTAATTACCTTTTTCTTTTTTTTACGTGAGACACAAGGTATAGTTAAATTTGCGTTCTAATAAAAATACATTTTAATAGAAAATTTAGCTATTTAACTATTCTCTTAGTTTTATACTTACTCGATAATTGAAGATTTGCTTAAGATTTTATCGCCAGCATACCTTAAGATTCTTTTTGAATTATCGATGATGTTGCGTAATAGAACACAGCAATTATGGAAAATAGAAAACGATAAATCACGAAAAGTGTTAACCATTTCAGTTTGAAATTATTAATTATAAGTTGCATTATAAGACGGAAAATATCGGCGAACTGCGCCGCTTTGGTTTTTCACGTTGAAATCTTAGACCGCGCGTACCTATATCTATGCATCGATTGTAAATCATCGATTTGCTAGTAATTTATGAGTAACGATCGCTCGATAAAGACCACGAAGCCACTTTTCTTCGTAAGTGTGCCCGCCAGCAATATACACATTCCGATGTGCTCTTTCAATAGATAAATAGATATTCTAATCAATAGAAACTTTTATAAAATTTTACAAAAAATATAAAAGTATTGTTTTTGCCAAAACCGCGTAAATTATTTAAATTTACAAGGTAACTTTAGTCAATACACGTTTATTGAAATAAATTAATATGTTGCGTTATATAAAAAAAAACAGATGAGGTAAATATATAGCTTTTTCTTGTTTGATTACATTTAGAAACAATTGTTCGCGGACACGAGATATTATTTTACCAAACATAAGATAAAAAATATTGAGCATGCATTTTCTATTAGCTCTCTCTCTCTCTCT